TTATGTGCTTGCATTAGCAAATGACATTGTTTTCAGCACTATGTCAGAAGATCTACTAAGAGCTGAAATCCATGGACCATTGATTTATAGATCTTGACCCAAGTTCATACTTTTATTGAGCTGTGGAATGTCTTCTATATCCACCTTTAAATTACATTTCTATCCACATAAATAATAAACACAAAGGTCTCTTTTAAACATTTTGCCTCCATCAAAAGAGGAGAAAAGGTTAATTCAATATCCATATAAATGAATGGTCTGTGGAATATGTTGCCTGCACAATCTATTATTTGCATGTTGGAAGGTTCAAGATAGTCCACTTCTCTGTCATTAAAGAATAGCACTTTGTGTTGGTACTTTAAACCCTGATAAACAACAGTCAGTGTTTCTACTTTAAATTATGTGTGTCCTTGCTTCACGTATGATTTGAGAATTGTGTAAAACTTATATTTAAAATTCACCATGAAAAATATGTTTAAAATATTAGTGTAAATTTTGTTTGCTCACCTTTCTACCATCAATTTCTGAAGAAATAATATTCTACTGCCATGTTTCATAGAGCAGTGCTCATCATCCTTTAAGATTACTTTTCTTACAATATTTCACTGTCTGTTTAAAAATACAGCCCATACATACTGAGGGTCACCCTTCATAGAACAGTGATTTATTGAACAGACAACTTCAGTTAAGCATTTTTATGAGCTTCTATGTGTGGTAGGATATAACAGCAAGGACATTTACTTGTTCACTTAAAACCTAAGCATAATTCAGATGAATTCTTCAGTCCTTAGACAATAGTTTAATATGGCTTAGGCAAACAATAACTTTGCTTACTAAATAAAAATAATAATATATAAGTGGTAGTCATTAACTACTCACTACAAAGAAAGTGAGGGAAAGTTTATCAAACACAGTGGTAAAAGCTTTGCAGTGCCAATGTCATTGCAGCATGTTTCCAATCTACTGTAGCAACAGAACAATTGCAAAGCTAACTTTAGAGAAAGATGTTGCTTTGCCATTCTTGCAACAGCTTGGCTGGTACTAGCAGTACTGAAAGCTCATGTGTAGCTAGGTTTCTACCTATGGATAGTGGTGTTGGCAGAACATTGAAGAAACACTTTGAGAATGTACAGAACTGGGCTGCAAAAAGTCAGACACTTCCGAGATGACAGCAAAGTACAGAAAACCTTAACACTTCTCTACCACATTGTGATCATCCATATTATGCAGCCTAAACCTGGTAGCTCTAGAATGTCTGGCCATAAATAAAAATAAATTAAATAGAATTGTTAACATAATGGCTTTGTTGGCCATGGATGATAGTGATAGAAAACTTAGAAATATATACAGTGATATATTTCACAAGCACATATACATATGCAGCCTTAGTCTGTTACTTAGAACCAATAGTTGATGACACAAAATCAGAATATTATTTATATCTGCTAGAAGTAATAAGGAAAAAAATGTCCAGGTCTGAACTATTCTTTCTTAAAATCCTATTCTTGATGTTCCTGGAATTGAAGTCAGAGCATCAATGTCGTATTATTAAGGAATCTACTTGGAGGAGTCAACAATCATGGTTAGGAGTTCTCTTTGCCCAACTGTAGTTCCAGCTACAAATCATTTCAGTAATATAAAACTTATGACCTGTTCATCCCTACATAAGATTGAATCTGAATGCCTCAGATTTCATTCTGTAATTTCAAACTAGATTTCTTTTGAAATATTTACAAAAAATTAATAACTATAAACATTAACATTCAAGCACTCTATTTTGGAAATTTCATAGAATCAGAGTTTGTTTTATAATGACTAATTATAAGTATATAATTTTATATACCTATGGGATATTTTAAGGAGTACATAAAATTATAGAGGAGGAAAAGGGCCTTTATGCAGATAATATCAGTGTTGAAGAAGTGGAGATTAGGAAGCCCATTTAAAAAAAATTAGAGCAAGAAGATACCCAGTTTAATAGTAGTTTGTATTAGTCTAATATTGCTGAAGTGTAATGAGACTGAATCTTTATATGAGATGGTTTGCCAATTCCTTAAAACAGGAGTGAAGAGCTTTTCCATCCAGAAAGGTCAACTCCCTCTGAGTTAAGTTTATTATAATAATATTAATAAAGTTGGAAGGGACCTTAGAGGTCATCTAGTCCAACCCCCTGCTCAGGCAGAAAACCCTATACCATTTCAGACAAATGGCTGTCCAGTCTCTTCTTAAAAACTGTCAGTGTTGGAGCATTCACAGCTTCTGGAGGCAGGTTGTTCCACTGGTTAATTGTTCTAACTGTCAGGAAGTTTCTCCTTAGTTCTAGGTTGCTTCTCTCCTTGCTTAATTTCCACCCATTGCTTCTCGTCCTGCCTTCAGGCGCTTTGGAGAATAGCTTGACTCCCTCTTCTTTGTGGCAGCCCCTGAGATATTGGAACACTGCTATCATGTCCCCCCTCATCCTTCTCTTCATTAAACTAGACATACCCAATTCCAGCAACCGTTCCTTATATTTTTTAGCCTCCAGTCCTCTAATCATCTTTGTTGCTCTTCTCTGTACTCTTTCTAGAGTCTCAACTTACATTGTGGTGACTAAAACTGGATGCAGTATTCCAAGTGTGGCCTTACCAAGGCATTGTAAAGTGGTGCTGGCTTTTTTGGCAGCTGCAGCACACTGCTGGCTCATATCTAAGTGATTGTCCACTAGGAATCCGAGATCCCTCTCACAGTTGCTACTATTGAGCAAGCTACCATCTATACTATACCTGTACATTTGTTTTTCTTGCCTATTCATGGATTGCATGGGCTAGTATTTTGGATGTAAATCCTAACTCTCTTCAGAAAAACTTTATCCCACAAGTTTATTTCCCCTTAACCAAACATCTCAACAGTACTAATTACTGAAGATCATATGTTAACATTAGGTGATATAAATGCTTTGGGGAGAGGTGGGGAAACACAGGCTGAATATGTAGAAATGAAAAACAATGTTGGAAAGTATGATTCTAAAAAACCGTCATCATGTACACATTTTTCTGTCACATGAGACTAAGATTGTGGGTACCTCTGTATCTAGTCCTGTTTCTTGAACAAATTATGCTGCTTTCCATATGCCATTTGGATTGTACATTACTGTATATATTATGAAAATCTCACTAAATTTAAAATAACTGTAAGTATAAGAACTATTTTAGAACTGGTAGACTAAGGAAAGAAGTCTGGCTATACTACGTGAAGTCTAATTATGTCTCAGTGCTTGTATTTTTTTAGCAGTTTAGTTTGTAATTCATAGGACTACATACATTCAAAATATAATATTTTATATTATCAGTTTTGGACACTGAGGTCTATCCCAGTGATCCATATTGTAATTTCTTTTTTAAATTGGGCTATTAATCTGCAGAAATCTCCTGATGTAGGCAATGTGTTTAAGCTTTTTTCACTAAAATATTAAGATACTAATTGTGATCAGTTAATTAATGGGAACAGTTTATGACCAATGACAAGTCTTAATTTTAATTTAATCAGTGGGTGGCTTTTGCAATTATGAATCTCAGTTATACTATTCTGAATGAATAACTTTTACATTTCAGTTAAAAAGAAATGATACTAGCTTACTAATGAGTCATTGGGTAAAATTTTGGGGTATTTTTTTAAAAAAATGAAAAATACATATAATTTTTATAGGAATGTTAATAAGAAATATCTTTTTCTCAACCTGCACATCTCAGTTTCCAGGCAAAATGCACCCAAGACCTTATCAGTCTCTATATGAGTATTCTTTTTAGATAATTCTTTTTATTGTGGATATTAATTTGGGTATAAGCTTCACTAAACTCAGTGTGAGCTATTTCTACCTAACACTGCATAGGATCCATGTTTTAGTCATTGATCTAGAATAGACTTATGTTCTCCAAATGTGTAAGATGGCCTATGGGTGATTGCTAGGAAACATGGGAATTAGTCCAACACATTTAAAGGCCATGAGAGTGTTACAAAGGTTGACTTAGAAGTAACATTACTTCTAAGTAACATTATTCATATCTTAATTATACTATAGTAATTCCACCAAACTCCACTGAATTTCTTCAGATTATTGTTCCTTCTTGGAGAACATCTCTTTCATGATAGAGGAAAAAGAAATGTTATATGTGTTCAACTTTCTACAATTAACTTAACACAAAAGTTTATTGACAGGGTACTGGTTGATATGTTAAGATTTACAATAACTTTATTGCAGTCATTAACCAGCACATTAACTTCTTGCAGTGCATTACTCTCCAACAAACCCCTAAGAGCTACATACTGGAGAGGAATAGGCATTTAGACACTCTGAACTGGAAGGGTGGAAACTGGTTGTTTATTTTATGTACTCATGTTATTCCCTTTCAGGATAAGCAACACTATGTAGAATGCAGAAAATTAGAAATATAATGGATTTTTTAAAAAAAAAATGAAGAAGAAGAAGAAGAAGAAG